GGAGGGGTTTGGGGAGGGGGAAGCATCTCACACGCCGATGAACCTCAAGGGGTCGGCGGATTAACATAATTACCCCGTGGAAGGCGTTCCAATGCAATGCTTCGCGTGGAGGCTGAGGCGCGGCAAGTTGGAGGGCAGTGCGCAGACATGTATTTCCACGAGCTGAACATCACAGGTGCGTGGGTGGAGGCGAAGGGAACCGACGGTCTCCATTGTCCCAAGCCGGAGTGCCGCGCGACGAGCAACCGCAGTGGTTAAAGTTTTGGGGGGCGTAGAACTCAAAGTCGCCCATGGGCGCACTGAGCATGGCACCTTGTACTTGAATTTCTACGTCAAGCACCTTGGGCGCGGTGGGTTCGCCGTCGGAGGGTTGCTTGGAGAGGATGACCACACCGAGGCATCCATGCCTTCGAAGGCATGTGTTCACCGCGCTGCCCTTTTGGAGACTGCGACTCCGAGTTACAGCGGTGAAGGCGTCTTCTCGATTGCAGAGGCAACCTTCTAATGCTGGCATGCGTGCGGGGTGAGGGCAATGCGGCCCGTGTGCGCAAACGATGTTTCTGTTTCTACCACGAGAAAAAAGTGCTGCATGCGGCGTCATAGATCATCGCAGGCGTCGTCACGACACGAATCTTCCCCGTATGCTGGCTTCGTGGGGGAAGTCGCCGCGCTGTCTTGCGAGGGAATTCGCGCAGGGCTTGCCCATGCATGCCGCTCAAATGGGCCAGAGTCGAGGGTGTCAGCGGATCGGTTGGTTCGGTTGCGTCGCAGCCGAGTTCGATCCGGCCGGTCAGAGCACATGTTGCAGAAGCAGAATATGCATCAAGAGAACAGGACGCAAACATGGCAGACTTGCACAAGACAAACAAATCATCGGACGGTGGAACCCCGCAGGAGAACATGTTTGGCTTGCCTGATCTCCTCCTGTCTCCTCCTCCTTCTCCTGCCTCATCCTCGTGCCTAATCTTGCTCCTCCTCCTCTCGCAGAAGCGTAAACCAAGGCAGCAACAAAGCAAACGACTTCCGTAGCTCCGTGCCGATCTTCTCGGGTCGGCGCTCGACAACCTCGATGGCTTCGGCTTCGGGCCGCTCCTTGGATCCGGGTCGGGGAGCTTCTTTCAAGTGGTCCAGAGGCTCGCCGTGGACAGCAACGCGCCTCCTTCATACTTGGTTCCGCGAACCTCGGTCGCGCAGAGGCGTCCTGAGGAAAGAGATGGCGCTGGAGGGGTTTCTCTGTCGTCTGGGTGCACCCAGGGCCCTCCCTGGGCCCTGCAGAACCGCCAAGAGAGAGAGGCGGGCTTTGCGCCCGGAGAGCAGCCTCACCGATCGACGATTCAGGCAACTCGCCCGGGCGGCGGGGGTAGTAGGGCTCGGAATTCGAAAAGCACGTGGCGAAATCCGAACCTAACAATCCCCGCCTCCCATCGATTTAGACATCGATGGTTGGTGGGTTCGGGCTCGAAATGCCGCCACCTCGGCAAGCTCACGGGGCCACCTGCTCTGTTGTTATTATCTGTTGTATTTGTAAAAAAAAAAAAAGACGGGGAGCTGGTCCTGGGGGAAGCCCAATCATTCAGGACTCAGGACCCGCTTCCATGCCAAGACGACTCGGAGGCAACCCCAGCACGGGCGATCAAGCTTGAACGCCGCCACTTGCCCAGCGTCGGCCAGCAGAAGCAGATCTGGCATCGGAGAGCCGCGAACGACAAGGTTGAGTGATGCATGGCGGCGTTCGACCGTAGCCATTGTCGCTGTTTCACGTGCGTGCACACACCATCCTTTGAGACTGGACCTGCGCAGTTTCCTCTCACTCGGACCTCCGGCAGTTGGGATGGCGGCGACCAGGAACGCACCATGGATCATGTACGTGGCGCTACTGGTTCATGGCGTATCGACCGCGACTTCCATGATGGTGAGCGAGGGCATCCATCGCGACATCGACCCGTATAACGCTTCGCGCACTAGTGACAGTATGAAGGAAGTGCATGAAGTGCAGGAAGTGAGCGGGATGCCCGCGCAGCGTTCAGCGGGTTACCTATCTTTGTGTTGCCCATGGTCCGCTAGACTCTGGTTTGAGGCCAAACAGCCAAAACCCTCCAAAAACCCTAAAACGAGCTATTTTGCACTCTCTCAAAAAACCCTCCAAAAACCCTTAGGAAACTATTGAAAAAAGCCAAAACGAGAAACGCCAAAATCCATGTACAAAAAAAACGGCAGTGACGTTGTCACAGAAGCAAGAATGGCAGGGTTGCACAGAAAGCCCATCAGCGTTAGGAGACAAGGGGAGGCGAATAAGAGAAACATGTCGATCGAAAGCGAGAGCTGAAAGCGCAAGGAGAGAGAGGAACACGGAGAAGGTACTATAACGCAGCTTAGAGGAGGTTAAGTGGGCGCTTACGCTAAGAAGGAAACAACTGTAATGGCGGCGGTGGTTGGCACTGAACGCGGTAAAGCGTTTTCACAGGACAGTAGCGGGAGACTCCGCATCACATCTCGTTACATGGGGCCGAGCATGCATTTCGAAGGTCACGCACTGTCAATCCCAAAGGTAACTGTGCTCGTGGTTGCGTCACCTATAATATCTGGATATGCTATGCAACGCTCCCTGGGCAGAATTTCGAGGCGACCAGCTGCGGATACACGTGCCACTCCCATGAGAATCGAGCGGCCTGCCACAGACGACAAGCCAATACATGATTTGAACAGGCGGCGAAAACACGGCGGCAGCCGTCGAATTGAATTACGCCAAGACCAGAGTGCAGCAGCGGGCGCTGGCATTCAACGGCCATGTGCGCACGCCGCACGTCGCGGCCACCGAGCGCTCACGGCAAAGCTTTCTCCTCCTCCTTCTCCTCCTCCTCCTCCGCCACCCCCATCCTCTAGCCCCTCGCCTCCTCATCCACCCCCTTCGTGCCTGCATGGGCCTCTGAGGAGGGTGCATGGGACGGGGGGGGTGTATGGCAACACCGCAGATGCACCTTGAGTTCTCTCTGGTCCTCCTCCTCCTCCTCCTCCTCCTCCTCCTCCTCCCCCTTGCCACCCTCAAGGGTAGCGCCTCGCCAGGCTCGAAACTCACCCCTCGAAGCACATCTGGCTGGCCTGCGTGTACGCCGCCTTCACGGCGGGCGGCATCAGCGTCGGTTGCACTTTGTGCTCGCGCAGCAACTGCTTCGGCTGATTCATCAGCGTGCGCAGCTTCACGCCGTCGGCGGCAGCATCTGAAATGCAGGCCTCCACCACGAACGAGGACACAAGCACGACCGCCACAGCCTTCTTCGAGTTCGCGAACTCGCTGACCAGGTCGTGGTCAGCCTTCGCCTTGAAGACATCGCACAGCTCAGTGTACACGTCTAGCTCCTATTGGGGTGCCATGGCGCACGCACCCCTGACCCCCGATCCCCTGATTACCTCATCCCCACTATCGTTTCTGGATGGGCTGGTGCGGATACGCGAGCAATACTTGGCGGCCATAGTAGGACCGTCTCGGGCATTTTCGCGCTGCGTTCAACTGAGGCAGTCTCGGCCCTTTGTGGCCGAGACTGCCCCAGTTGAAAAGCAATGGCCAGCGATGGCCTCAAGCCTCAAACGGGCAAGGGGTGCAAGGATGAGGAGTGGGCATCGGGGTCTGGGAGGGTGGCGGGCGCATGCAAGACAACGATTGGCGAGGGAACCGCGAGGAGGAACAGGGGGAGGAGCTCAGGAGGAGGAGGAGGAGGAGCAAGCAGAGGAGGAAGCCGAGGACGGGGAACGCATCGGCCCCTTCGCAGGGCCCAGGTTCGACAATGCCACCAGCCCTCTGGGCGGATGTGATCCAGGGCTGCCTCTCGTCTTACTCCCTTCTTCCCCCTGGGGGATGGTTTATCCCTTTCCCTGCTCCCCCGCCTCCCCGCCCCTGGACCTGGGCGGATGGTTTCGCGCGTGGTCGGGTCATCTCGGTTGGCCCTTGCGATGGCGGGCAAAACTCATCGCCCATCGCGGTTGTCGCGTGCCCCCCCAGGGGCAAGGCTATATGATGGACCCCCATTCGTTGGTCGATGTCCTCAGAAATTGCCCAAAGAGGCGCCTTGGGACGCTCCTCGTGGGCCTCTTGCGCTGGCAGTCGACGCCTCTCCGCCCGCGCGCGCCAAGAAACGCCCAAGAGGCCGCCAGGAGACACCCGAGACACCCCAAGACCCCCAATAAGCTCAAAGTGCAACCACAAGGGGCTTCGAGAGGCCTCTTGTCATTCCGCCCGTACTCTCCTCCTCTTCATGTTTATCCGTCGGTTCTTCCTCTTTGTCCGCTTGTTGCTCCTCCTCCTCTATCCTCCCTCTTCTCTCCTATCCCGCCCTTCGCCTTAGTATTATCCTCATCCTACCGTCATCCCCTCCCGTCTCTTCATTTTCATTATCACCCTTCCTCAGTATTGTCCTCATTCCGCATATTATCATGATGTTTCTCGTCCTCCTCCTTTTCATCCTACTCCTTCTCCTCCCCTTCCTTTGCAATGGCGAAAGGCCCAAGAAGACATGCGCCTAAGATGTCTGCCAGAAGGCATGCTAAGGATTGGCACGATAACATGCCCACCATGTCCACAAGAACACGGTACCAGAGTGCACGCCCTATGCTTGGGGCGCTTGAAGCAGATCCAGGGGTCTGGGTATGGAAGGGGTGGCGTCAGCGTGAACTGCCGCTGACACAAGCATCTATGACCGATGTGAGGTTTCGGGCCCTCAGCCCCACGTGAGGCCCCTCTAGACCGCCAACAAGCACACAAGATGTCACCAAACATCAGCAATGAGCGCCACCCAGATCACCCGAACTACCTTCAAGATAACCTGAGCGGCGTTGAGCCGCATCCTAGAGTCCTAGAGGCACGCCAGGTCCAACCAACGAGGCCCCTGTGAGCACCAACGGTTTCCTTTACCCACAAGCCAAGCACGGCGGGTGCACTGGCCGAAGGCCTGCTATTTCAAACGGTGGGTGTGGCAAGGACGGACGGCCAGAGTTCCCAAGCAATCCTTGCAGAGCTGCTGCAGCACGAGGTTCGCGTCATCGCGGTCCCAGTTCTTGAAGCCAGCCTCCCAGATCTTCTTGGTCTCCTTCCACGTGGCGTTGGCAGCCCCGTCCTCGAACACCTCCAGGCCGTTGCTGTTCTTGAACTTGCCCCACAACGCCTTCATCTGTGACTTCGCAGCCTCAGCAGCGTTCGCCACCAGTGCGGCCGCGGCATCCTGCATGCACTGCTTCGCACCCTCGAACGTGGACTTGCTCGCCGCGGTGACCTCGTCGAAGCCCTTCACCTTCTTGCCCAGGAGCGTCCTGCAGCGCTGCACCTGGCGATCCAACTGGACCAACAACTTCTCGCAGCCATTCGACGTCGCAATCTCCTGCGGAGAATCGCCAAGCTTCTCCACGGCCGTCCTCGCCTCGTTCATGTCGCCTACGCACACGAGAAGGTCCACCAATGCAGCGCATGCCGAGGTGTGTTGCTGCGGGGCATGCGGGGCCATCGCCTTGAGCAGATCGATGTGCTTGAACTCGTCGTTGCCGTCGAACTCACGCCACCGCGGGTGCGCCACGATCTTGACAAACGTGTTGTAGACCAACTCGCGCGACGCCTCGTCGCCAGAGGGCAGCGTGAGATGCTTGAAGTAGTCCTGCATCGTGCTGGACGCCATCGCGTCGGTGGTGCTGAAGTCGTTCAACTTCTGGCTGAGGTCGCTGGCCCTCTTCATCTGCGAGATCTCGCGCACCGTGGCCGCCAGCGCACTCTGGGATCGGACGAGGTCGTCGTTGTGGGAACAGTTGGACAGCGCCTTCTGCACCAAGGTAGTGTATGCCTCGATGGCGCCGTCGAACTTCGTATCCGCTGAGTCCGCCTTGGAAGCCTCGGCTGCGAGCGTCGCAAGCTTGGTGGCGTGAGCTGCGATGGTCACGGCGAGCTTCCCGTCGAGCTCGAGAACGTGGCTCTGGCCGACGGTTGCGTTGAACTCGGGGACCGCCTGGACAATGATCGACAGACTCTCGCGCGCCTCCACGCTGGGGCCTTCGTCTTTGAGGGCCATCGTCGTCTTCATGTGTTCCTGCAGCTGGGGGGCGCTGCTCTTCAAAGGCTTTGCAGACTTGCCGAAGTTGCCGATCAACTTGCTCCAGTACGGCGACCTCTCGACTGCTTGTCCAATGACCTGGAACACAGACAACGTCGCCTTGCCCGTCTTCAGCCCCTCCTCCTGCAGCCGCTTGACGTCGTCGAAGACGCTGACTGGCGTGTTCAGCTGCAAGCTCTTCTGGACGCTGGCTGCGAGCACGGCCAACGCCTTCTTGGTGTCCTGCATCGCATGCGCGCACTCGGTTGTCATGGCCGTGTCCTCGGTCACATTCCAAGTGCGCACGATGACATCTTGCAGCTCCAACACAAGGTCATCCTTCGCGTCAGCGCTCTCAATCCAGCCCAGCAGGAGGCCAAAAAAACCTGAGGATAAGAAGAGTGACTTCATCTCCGCCATTGGCAACCTGGACGTCAACAGTGAAGGCATTTCAGGGTCGTAGTCGGGGAGAGTGCCATTTACGTAGGGGGCGAATGCCTGCACGATTTTGCCAATACTCTGCACCACGTCCTTGTCAGCATCGATCTTATCCGCGTACTGCTTCACGTAGGCCTTGAGAATTGATATCCTGGTCTCGGCTAGCCAGTCAACCTCCGCTTTCTTGAGGTGCTGGATCTTCGCAAGGACTTGGTCCCAGCTGAGAAGCATCAGCTTGCCATCTGGAAAATGCTTGGCGTCGGTGACAAGGCCCAGATGAACATCCAGCTGGTCGCGCTCGAACTTGTCTATCTTCGGCTTCAAGATCTCAGACTGCGATACGGCATGCAAGAACTTGAAAGATGATGACGCAGCAATGCATTCCAAAGGAAGCCTCTTGATCCAATAAGCGCATGTGCCGACCTTCTCTGTCTCACTGCAAATCCGCGCGCATTCATCCTTCGGCGCCATGGGGTGCTCAGAGTACAGCTTGGCCATGTTGCCAAAGAGCTCCTCTATCTCGTCGGCCTCGTCCAGTTCGATGGCCTCGAGGGAGTGCCCGTCCTTGATGGCCTTGGTGCCCTTGCCCTTGGCGCCCGCGGGCGTCGCGCTCTGGGATCGGGCCTGCACCTTCGAAGGCGTGCTGCGGCTGCGGGCCAGCGGCTTGCGCTGCGTCGTCTCACATTCGTTGTCGGGGTCAAACGGCACAATGACGGCCTCCTCCGATGACTCAGCCAATGACGACTCGCTGTCGCCACCACTCGCATCGCCATCATCAGCTCCAGCTCCTCCCTCATCACCGCTGTCATCTTGATCGGCTTTCCCTCCACTTGCCGACGGCTGGCCCGATTGCGCCTGCAGTCTCGCCCTGTATTCCAAAACTTCGACGGGCGCAGTCTTCTTGATCGAGTCGAGCTGGTACTTGCTGATAGATATGTTGGACTGCGTCGTCAACGCCATGCCAGCGTGGCCCTCGAACAGCTTGGTCCCCTTCATCTTCACGGTCTTCGCGCTGTTGCCAACAATTGACATCAACCGCAACTTGCGGAAATCAGTTGATGGTATCGGGAAATATTGTTTGATCTTGCCGCGGGAGTCTGGAAACTTGATGGGCCGTATCTTCATCGCCTTCGGGTTCTTGCCGAACTTCTTCGTGCGCGAGGCGGTAGTGTGTACCTCGTAAGTCTCCTCGAGGACCGCCTGCAGGGATACATGCTCTGTGACATCCATGCCCTCCTTGGGCTGACCCTCGTCAACCTCGTCCCCCGCGTCGAACACTGAACCCAAATTATCGGAGAACTGTGAGTCCGTGCCCTTCTTCGACACACACTCGTGGAATAGCATGCCAGGGAAATTCGATGCCACCAGCTCCACGCACCGCTCACACCCGTATATCTGCGCACCTTGCGCAGGCTGCTCGATCACATCGTCATCCACGAAGGAGGCCCCTTCCTGGCAGGGGACGGGGGCAGAAGCAAACAGGAAACCCCGCTCGCACACCCCAAGACCAACAACCGATTGTAAACCTTACCAACTATGGGCCTACACCCCCATTGCCCTCCTCGTACCTACCCTAATCATCGCCCATTCTGTCGTCTCCTCGTTCGCACCCCGCCCTCCGCCTCCCCTCCCCCACCCACCCACCCGCCGAGCGATTGTGCGCAGCTGCGGGTACAACGTACGCAAATGGGCGTCGCTTTGCCGCTCCGAAACGCCCACAATGGATACGATCAACGCTGGCTTCGGTGGCGCCCGACTGACAGGGGCATGACGGGCTGGTTTTCTTGGTTTGGCACACGCGGAGTCTGCTCCAATGGAGCATTGGATGACCAAAGTGGCCCCCGAGACGGCCCAACGTAGACAAAGGTTCTGGAACGTGGCGTCGGATGTGGCCCAGAAGGCACCAATAATTCCAGAATGGTGTTCCACTTGACCGAAACGTGCAGGAAATGAGGCCACCGCGAAGCCGAAACCATTCCGAAGTCGAACGAACACACGTGATTTGGCAAGTGGCGTCTCGTCCGGTCGCGTCTGACTGCCCCCCCTCCCGAGGAAGCAAATTGGTTCCAAGAGGGCCTAAGGGAACACACATATGTGCCCAACTGCCCCCCGAACGTAACCCACGCATAGCCCAACACGTCGACGTGCGGGGCGGTCGCGCAACAGGCCGCTAAGCTATTGCTCGCAAGTCGTTGATCGATCGGTCTCCTGAAGGCAGCCCCAGGACGACCTTGACTACACGAGTGCAACCAAAAAAGCCGCCACCCATACGCAACCGAGAAGGCCCCACGAAGCCCCCGATATACCCCAGAGAGCCACCCCAGCAGCGCCAAGGAGCCCCATCTGCTACATCCAACACGGCGCAAGAGGGCCACGACGTTGCAACAAAGACGCCACGGCGCACCAATGTGCCCGCACTGAGACTACCAAGGGTTACACAAGAAGGGTCCGACCGATATCTTGCGGTTCAACTCGCAATTCGGTTGGTCGTCCTCCCCGTCATCCACCATGTAACCTCGCTTCTCTCCAACCCTCCCCCCTCATCCTTTCCTGCCTTCCCCTGATTACCGTTCTCCCCGAACCCCGCCCCTCAATCGCACCATCCAGGGCAATATCCGCAAACCTCTTGGGATCAGGGACCTACCCCAAACCATGTGATTACACGCGCTTTCACACTTGAGTTGCAAGGGCAGCTCGTTAGGGAACCGTTGATGGGCAGGGCGGCCAGACTGATATTCGCGACGAATCCAGCCTTGCGTCGAGGACACTACGCCCGAATATCTAAACCAATGCCTCACGCACCAAAAAGCACATCCAGAAACGATGCGAGCGGAATGCCCGACCTTACCTCATCCGCACCCATCCCCAACCGACCCCTCATCCGTCTCGCCATCTCATCACCCACCCTTGTGCGCCAGCTCGATCGACCCTAGTGGCGAACGTGCGCGTTGCATCCAACTGCGCGCTGCGAACTGGGCGGGCGCGCTGGCACCTCAGCTCGTCGCGCAACGGTCACGCATTCGATTCGCAGCAGCATCTGATGCAGTGTCTGATGGGACAGTGGCCCTGGGCACGGTCATTGGCTGGGTTTGCGGCGGCGGAACTCGGAGCGCCAAGTGCTGTCTTGCATCCTCCGCCGCCCGCCCCCCACCGTCATCTCTCAGCGTTCGGTTCCTCCGCTGGTCCTGCGTGACATCAGGGAAGCTCGCCCACCAGCGGGGCGGCTTCAGCAGCACGGCCAATGGCGATGTGCTCGCCTTTTGTCGGAGGCCGAAGCTGGTGAGCGGCACCCTTCGCATGAAAGAGCATGACGGCCGCGGAGATCGTGTCTTCGTACAGCATGCGTGCACGTTCAGATGCCTCGGCAGCACCCTCTTCGATCCTAGGAAGCATGTCCAGGCACAATTGTACGCTGCGCCTGCTAAGCTCACAATGCTTGAGCGATGTCCGTGCTTTCTTGTATACATCGGGCAGGTCAGCCTGGACCAGGTGGAACCTGCGGGTTGCAGCCGCGACCTTGCGCCAAGCCGATGCGGCCTTGGCCTCATTGGCACCGTCATCTGCATGTAGCCCAGGCGCTTCGGGTGGCCAGCGTTCAACTGCAGCCGAATCGGTTGCATCTTCGGTAACCGAGACATCGGTGCTCGCCTGGCCCACCCGATCCTCACCAAGCGGCTCATCGGCCGCTTGCGCAGGCTCATCTTGCGCAGGAGGATTGAGATCGGGCGCCGCATAGATGCCGAGAGTCTGGCGGAGCACGTCGCACGAAACGGGAAACTTCGGAGGCACAGCACATATGGCTTTAGCTTTCGGCCGCAGAAACACAGTAGATGGCGGTGGCCCAGGCGGCGGGCGCGGCACGCCGCGTGACTTGACCTTTGCAGATGCCGATGACAACGCATCGCTGCCCGATGCCATCGGAAACCGACGCCCGCCACCGAAACGCGCGCTAGCCGCTGGCGAGCCGACGTAGCTGCAGTCGGCGCGCACGGCTACCAGTGCAAAGCCCAGCGCAGCAGCCATCACCATCATCCTTACCACCATCCTTGCCCTTATCGCCCCCCCCTCCCCCAGCCCAATGGATGATGGCGGAATGAGTGGGGCTCGGCGTGGAGAGGTGGTTGGAGCGATGAGGAGGGAACACATTGGCCGCGTTGCATTTAATAAACATACGGGTGCGACATTGCTACTACCGACGGCCAACCGAACGGATCTCTGGGGGCCCCGTTACGGCGGGTGTTGGCACTAACGTGCCGTGGACAACCGATTGTGGGATGCACACTTAGCACAAAAGGACCCCGCGGTCCTCATCAAAACCAATGTGGAACGGCGTGGTCAGAACCTGGGAACACGCCCTGCTCGATAGCGGGCGAGGCCGTCGGCTCCCGCAGAGCAAAGTCAAGTTGTTGTTGGAGTTCTTCGCGGACGCAAGCTGAGCATCTGCGTTGTCCGCGCCGATCGTGGTCAAGCGCCCGTTGGGCGCACGATCAGCGCGAAAGCGCTGTTGCAAAGCTTGCATCCCCGATCATGGGCCCTGGCAACCGCCTGGCTGAACCTCTGTTCCGCTGCCGCTGCAGCTTCGAAAGCTGCCTGCGTTGCATTATTGAGGCGCTCCACCTCAATATCAGCCGCGAGCCACTCATGCAGAGCTGCTGCGACATTGTGCCTGTCATCAGGCGTGGTTTGGAACTGGGGGGCGGAGCCACTGCTACCCGCGGCAGAGGCCTCGTCAGCAGCGGCCAAGCTTGCAAAGCCGACGCTCCCACGCTGGGCGGCGTGTGCTGCCCTGGCGTTAGCGATGGCGCTAGGCTTGCGGAGGGGCGGCAAGCGCCGCTTCTTTGTCGTCCGCTTCGCTCCTGCAGCGGTCGGCACATTCTGCGGAATCGACGGCGGCCTCGGCACAAAAAACAGCGGGGGCGAGGAAGCGACGATTGCGGTGGTGTGGGTTGGCGTGGTATAGGCAGGGCAGGCACTCTTGGCAGTCAATGTGCTCAGGGCTGCCACTGTCTGCGCCACGAGCAAGGGCGGCTGCGGCCGCGCCACTCAACACTTCGACGGAGTGCCGTTGTAGCTCATGTTGCAGCAGCGCCGCCCGTCGCGATCGGCTCTAAGCGCGAGGGCCAAACTAGCGGCGACGGTGGCGATGGATTTCGGTTGGTTGCGAAAATTGGCGAATGAGAGGCCGCGAGGGGGAGCAAGTGCGGCAATGAGGAGTCGCAGATCAGGGCGAGGGCGGGCGTGGTGTTCGAGACATGTTGCGGCGCGGTGCTGTCGTGCAACGCGCCACCTTGAGAAACAAGATGGAGGGCCGATCCTTTTCAAAAGTGTCGCTGCCAGAAGCAATGGTCAGCCCATTTCATTACCATCAACATCCATCACCGTTACTCCCTCACCTCCCTCACCAAGCTGAATGTTGGCTCAAGTCCTTGGCCGTCTGTCCGCAGAGGCCGCACTTGATAGCGATCTTGTGTTTCTGGCCCTTGATGGCGTGCTGATGCTTACTCTCCTTCTCAGCCCTCTCAGTCTTCGAGCGTTTCATCGGCGGGGGATCAGACTTCTTGCGAGGAACCTTCGCGCACTCTGCAGCGTGCAAGCCCACTGCGCGCTGCCAGCGCGTGCTGAGCCCACCGTGGGCCCAATGCGCCTCGGCTGGGAAAAAGGCCACCGACGAACGCAACTCCAGCCAACATGGTGGCAGGACGGTGAAGCGGCTGCTGATCGCTGCTGGGGCGGAGGCGAGGTGTTGCGCCAACATAAGACGATATATGGACGGAGCAAGGGGTGGTGAGTGGCCGGGGAGTGCAGGGGAAACGGTGCATCGAACAAAATGGCCCCAACGTCACCAGTCAGCGTTTCACCGTCCATGGCGAATTCGGCTGTCATGCTTACAATGCCACCGAACTTCGCGCATTTATCTTCGCGCCTTCTCGCGATAGCGTCGCCCCCCCGCGGAACAGGGCTGCGGGCCTAATTGACGCCGCGCAACGCGATGCACGATTATCTCCGCGTTGCGCTGCGGTGGTATTGGACCGAGCTGCGTGATCACAGCATAGCTTTCTCAGAAGGCGTGGGGGTAAGTGGAGCGGGAGGGGCAGGGGGTGACCAATTGCGTTCGGGGCAATCTCGTTGCCATTGGGGCAACAACCATGGCTCGCAATGGCCACACGCGCAGTTCCAACGTAGATAGTAATAGACTGCCATCGCTTTGACAGGTGCAGCGCGCCGCGCCCACGTCACATCCACTACCCTCCTCCTCCCAACATCCTCATCCCATCAGTCATCCTCCCCATCGTCGGCTACTGAGAGCCCCTCTCACGTTTCGTGCCCCCTTGTGCTGGCGGCTCAAACGAATACCTCAAGTGGCGGTATGGGGGGCGGGGTGGAGAGAGGGGGCCACCGAGACACTTGCGCCCACATTGCACACCTCGAATGCCAGCACGAGGGTATCGGCAGCCGCGGCAGCGCAGGGAACTCTAACGAAGGCTCTAAGCGGGGGGTGGGGCGGCCAACATGCGTCGCCACTTCGCGGCACGCTCCCTGCCAGGCTCGCTGCCCCCCCCCCCCCCAGGGAGAGGGGGGCACCAAATGTGGCAGTGACAATGTGCAATCGCGCTCCCCCCGCCCACGCACACACACGCGCGCGCACCGCACGCGCAACGCGCCGAGAGTGCGTGCGTCACTGGGCTGGAGTGCAAGCCAACCGTGACAAAACGCTGCATGGGCAACTGCATACCTCGATTTACCAAATCAATCTGCACAACATGCACGGACGCTTTCCAGGGCAACGGGGCAGCCCCACGGCGCGAGCGCGTCGACCCCCTCAGAAAACGACAGTGACGGGGCGAGGCCCCGAAGGGCACAAGGGCGAGCAGGGGGCACTGCAGAGCAACGAGAGGCGATCGGCGCATGCCCCAACTTCCGCAAGCGGGAGCAGGGAACGCGCTGTTCACCAACCTGCCGCAAGGAAGAGCCCCCCGAAGGGTGGAGGGGGCGCCAAAACGGCGGAGGAGGAGCGGGAAAGGAGAGAGGAGCGGAAGAGACGAACGACGGACGACGACGAGCACGACCGACGAAGACGACATCAGAAGCCTTCGCATCACATCGGCACACCCCTCACGACGACAATGGGCCCCATGGAGCGCCACCGAAGCCCCAAGTGGGAAGGCCCCCTAACTCAATTCGGCGCGCCCCTCACGAGGACCGCGTGTCCACTAAGACTTTCACTGGGGACTCCCGTGACATGGCCCACATGCGCCACACTTAGATTTTGGTACAATCATCCCCGATAGGCTCGTGCACCTGTAGGGAGCCCCGCCCAAGGCAGCAGCGAGAAGGCCAACTGGCGCCAACGCCCTCACCCAGCGCAGCTCCACTGCGTCAGTCACACTGGTGAGGAGAACAATCGAGTCTGATGCGAACGGCCGTGTTACCAACAACTGCTTGTATGTTTTCGGTTGTGCAGTTTGTTTTTGCTTGTGGCGGTGCGCCCTTGGACCCCCCCCCCACTGTGCTTAGCGTGCGCCGCCGAGCGACATCCCGAGGCTCTTGCAACAGGAAATGAGAGCACGCTCGCGCAATGCAAACCAAGATGCACAAGCACGCCCAACTGGGGGGGAGCCCGCTTTCCAGCGGCGGAAGCAACCTCCTGCCGCGGAACGCAGCACACAAGGAGCGACAATCGCGGCTTTATCGAGACAGTGCCGTGAAACAAAAGCCTAGCCAGGAGCTTTTTGACGCTGCGCTGATACTGAAATCTCTTCGGCGGAGGGTTTTCGGAGGGTTTGCGTGCTCACCATGGTTGCAAAAAGCCTTTCAAAAGGCTTTTTGAAATCGCGTGGTGTTCAAAAAGCCTTTCAAAAGCCTTTTTGGAAACAGCCGATTTGCAAAAAGCCTTTCACAAGCGTTTTAAAAGCCTCCAAAAGCCTTTCAAAAGCCTTTTAAAAGCCTTTCAAAAGCCTCCGACGATTTCAAAAGCCTCCCAAAAGCCTCCAACAAGCCTCCGAAAACCCTCCGCCGAGTTCAAAAGCCTTTCAAAAGCCTCCTCGGAAACCCTCAAGTTCTCAAAAGCTCCTGGGTAGCTTTTCGGAACCCAGGCGGCGCCGAAAACTCTCAAGGACTCCTGGAGATGCCCTCTGGCGGCTCCAGCTGCAGGCAACCGAGGGGGGCGTGGGTAGAGCTAGCCCTGGCTTTGGGAGCGGCGCGGCTGACGACCGAGGGCACAAGGATGGCCGTTGGCGGGTTGCGGAAGGCGGTTGCGGGGTGGCGGTGGTGGCATAGGTCAAATGGGTGAGGAGAGGTAAGGAACTTGACGATGAGAGGGGATGGCACACGCGAGGGGAACGAGGAAGACAAACGGAGAGACGAGACGTAGCATTGCTTGTCGCCGTCGCCCGCCACCGCCCCGCCCCCCGATCCCCTTGCCCCGCTGTCCATCCCCTCGCATGTGCTTGCCACTCTCCTCAACTGCGCCCCACCCACCATCCGTACCAGCCCTCCTCCCGCGCGCCGCCCCCGAAACCAAAAGCTCGACACTCTCACCCACCCACCCCCTGCAGACAGACGGCGGCACCCTCGGCACGCGGACATAATCTAAGCAGATGGGTCCTCGATCGGCTCGGAATCCGACGCCTCTCCGCCCCACTCTTCTGAAATGATCTGGAGGGCAGCGTGCCCACCGACTCGCTTAAAATACTCTCGTGCGTCATGGCGCTGTTGGTACGTCGGCTTGAAACAACCATGGTCGATCTTAGTGCCCAGACCATGCCCGTCCAGAATCCAAGAACACAAGAACCCCACGCCCCTGCCCATTGTTGGGCGGCGGATGCTATACGAACCTGTTGGTCGCTTACTACTCAGGCTGCGCCTGCACCTCCCGCCGTGACAAGCATTCCCGCACGTTGCTTCGAACACGCCATACGGGTATGCAGTGAGCTTGCCACCATTCGGGGAACGAAATGATGCAACGGCGCCGCCGCCGACCCCTGCACGACTGGCTCGACTGCCACCGCCACGGTCAGACGCGGGCAGTGGAGGTGAGGGCGGGGGCAGGGGTGGAGGCAACGGCGGCGGCGGCGGAGGCGCAATCGCCCCAGAACTAGAAGCGCTGCCACCTCCAACAGAAACAATAGGCTCAGGGATCTCAAGTGAGGACGAGCTCTCTCCAGGTCCACCCGCAGGGTCAGAGGGGTGCATTGCGCCGCTGGGCTCCCCCTCCTCAGGCCCCCTCTCGTCATCTGCCAAGGGGCCGAACTCGAAAATGGCGCCGCCGACGGCGTCATCGCAACTGCCAGTGTCCGAATCTGAACCCTCGGACTCATCAGCGTCAACCTCTGGGGGCTCTGGGGGCCGCAATCGGGGCTGGCCCGAGGGCCGACGCGACTCGTCGCAATGCGGGAATGGTGTCAGACAAAACGTTTAGGGCGTCTGGCGTAAGCAATACGGAAACACACCGTAACAATCACAGTATCCCCCTTCGGTGAAAGGCGCCCTCTGCCAAAGCCCACCCCTCGCATTGCAACGGCTGGCGACGATGGAGGGGCGAACAAGCTAAAGACCCCAAAGAGTGGGCAGCATATTGCAGCGCGACGTTGCATGCAACCAACCAGAGGAGACCCGAAGGCTGCAACCGCCATATGCACCCCAACCCCTTGCAGCTACGCGCGACCGCAAGCACTGTTTGGTTGTAGGGGGCCCCTGGCCAGTGATACGTTTCAGCTGCACGCCATGGGCCTTGTCTGACCCATCATCGCTAGAGGCATCTCCGCCGACAACTCCCCCAAGCACCTCCGCCTCGCCCTCGTCAGGAGAGAGGTCGGAGTCGCTCTCGCCCACGTCCCCCCTCTCACCGACATCAACTGCATCGGCCACAGGGTGAGGTCCCCCTGCCCCGCGCCCGCCGCCAGATCCCCTGCCGCTACCGCCTGATGGGGCCCCTTGGGCACTCTCATCGCCAGCGGCAGGTCCCTCTGAGCTGCTTCGCCCGCGCCCCCTGCCTCTTCGACCGCCGACTCCTCGGCCACCTCTCCCGTCACCGCCTCCTCGGCTGCCTCCTCGTCGGCCTCCCGACGGCGGCGGCCACGGAGAGTAAGACGCTCCTGGGGGGAGGGCCTTGGCGAGGACCAAGCGCGGCTGTATCTCGCTGACGGGGCGGGCGTGCACCTGCACGAGCAGGAACTCTATGTCCAATCCCTGCTCCAAATCCAGGGTCCTCAACATGTCGCACATGTCGCCGTGCACGCCGCATGCCTGCGCGGGCGGCGGGGAGGGGGGGGGGAGCAAGCCTCGAGGACGCGCGCGTCGCCTTCACGCATCCTCTGCCCCCGCACGCCCACGCCGCCCTACTCCGCTGGGCGGGGACCTCGTAAACTCACTCATCGACCTTCCCCGTCCCCCTCCTCCTCTGCTAGAGTCTGCCACTCCTTTCGGCCTCCTCCGTCCTCCCGCTCCCCCACTGTCTAGCCCCCCATCTGCTACAACCAGCTCACCCTTCGGCACCGCCATCCTACTCTTTACGCAGGGCCCAGCTGCGAGGCCCAAAACGAGGTTGGGTTTTAAATGCCATCAGCTGCTGGGGGATGGCGGCGGGATTGGAGGAACAATGCGTTGCAACGACGCGAGGGCTACGTGAGGCAACAGCGCTGGGGGAGGGTGGGCCAGGAGAAGGAGGGCGGAAATTCACGAGGCCATGAGCAGGAGCAGACGGAGCATGCCAAACCTGAACAATGGAATGGTGCATGGGTGTGAATGGATGGACGTGGATGTTCGCCGTGTCATTTCACCCCTGAACTAGAGAACAAAAAGTGCGATCACCAAACACTACATGCGATCTCCGATGTCGAACGCAAGTGGCCGAAAGCTTGCTGGCAACTACTCCCTGACCATGTCGAGCACGCGCACAGTCAAGGCTAGAGCACGGTCCGACAGCGCAGCTGTCAAGACGACGCGGTCCGCAATCGCACACGATTGCTAGGCGAGGCAGCGGCTGTGGATAACAGGTTCGCCCATTATGAACATTCGAGGGGGCCTTGAGCGCCAGGCAAACTAGCCAGGCGGCGCTGCGATGTCGCCCGTCAGCTGGTCACCTAGTCATTGTCAGAGTTCAGCGTAAGCTCCCTGCGATTGGTGTCCTGCTTGGCTTGCTCGGCTTGCTCTGGCCAAGCCTCACCGCTGCTGCTGCTGCTGCTGGAGGTCGGCGGCAGCGAAGAAGACGAGAGCACCGTGCTGGCCGAGCTGGGACCCATTGACACGTCATAACCGTCGTCCGCCTCGAAAGGCGCAGCCTCGGCGACAAGCACGGGGTTCGTGGCGTTGGGCAGGGCGATGACTTTCGGGGCTGTATCGCGAAAGCACTGCGATGATTGAATCCATCCAGGCTTGAGCGCGACCTTGGGCTGCATGATCTTCACGTTGTCGCTGTGGCACTTGTTCGTGCGTGCGTACTTCTTCATGGCCAGCACCTCTGCCTTAGTATCAGGAAATCCCTCGGCCATGTGCATGTACAGGAAATTGGGGATCGAGAACCTGTTGTTGGCCTTGAGCTCCTTTGATGCCGTCTTCGGGAGCTCCTCCAACACAGCCTCGACCACGTGCGGAGAGGCGCCCACCTTCTTCGCAATGGCCTTCGCGAGGCTCGTCTTGGTAATGTTGCCCTTGGTCGTGCCATCTGGCTGGGCACGCCCACCGTGATCGCCACCGCCGCCGAGGCCGTCATCTGCTGGCGGTTGTTGTTGCTGCTGCTGCTGATGGTCGGGTGCAGCAGCCGCGGCTGGGCCCGATGCTGGCGCCATCCCGCTGGACATCTTGCGCCGACACGGCCGCTGTGTCAGAAGACGGAGGTGATGGCGAGGAGGCGGCGATTGCTGCGTGCGCCGCGAAACTTAACATGTTCGAGCCAAAACGGCAACGGCGGCAAAGACCTGCGCGAACCTTCAAACAAGTGGGTGGGTGGGGGGGCGGGGTGGGTGGTGGGGCGGTGGCTCGTGCGCACGATCTTGGGGTTCTAGAGGTGGGAGGCGGGGCGGGTAGCGGGGCGGTGGCGGGGTGGGTGGGGGATAGTGGGGCTGGTGGGGCAGGGGGGAGGGCGCGGGGTGGGGCGGGAGAGGGGGCGGGTGACTCGCGCGCACTATCTTAGATGTTCCCCGAAGGCGTGTCGACTTAACAGTCCATCCGCTAGTTCGTAGCGCACGGCGTTTTTGTTGGGGTGCGCCTGGCGATTTGCCATGGTTTAACGGCCCCAATGCAAAGCCAGCGATTCCCATACCTCAATGTTCCGAAGATGTATCGAACGAAACGCTTGTGTTTAAACACGTAAGTTTCGGAGGAGGAGGAAGAGGAGGAGGCGGAGGAGGAGGATGCGGATGAGGAGGGAACTGAGGAGGAGGGGGATAATGAAAAGAACGAGGGCGAGGCAGGAGGAGAATGAGTCTGGGGAGGAGGGTTCGGATGAGGAGGAGGCGGATGAGAACAATAAGGAGGATGACCAAGAGGGTGAGGATGAGGATGAGAGGAGGGGAGCGAGGAGGAGGTGCAGGGACTGGGCTCGCTGCATGTTGCAGTGGGCTATCTTGAGCAGGATGAGGAGGGGGCGGATGGGGAGGGTGAGGAGGAGCAAGTTGAGCTTGCTTCCGCCGCCGTTCCTCTTCCCCCACATGCGCCTCCCACGCCGCCTCCGCGCCCTCCTCCCCCGCATCCGCCTCCTCCCCCACGTCCTCCCCCCGCGCCTGCTACCTTAAGCCTACGACCTGCATATTGCTCATCGGTCTCCCTCTCCCCCTCTTCCTCGCTCATCCCCGTCCTTCTCCTCTTCCTACTCCTCCTCCTCTTTATTCTCCTCCTGCTTCTGCTCCTCCCCCCCTCCTCCTTACCCCCCTCCATAACATCAAGTAGCCCAAACGGCCACCACACCCGATAAATAACGAGGTGTGCCAACGCACTCCCAGCGTTGGCACTGCAATGCTGCTGGTCGTCTGATAACCCCTGCCACGCCGCTTGCGCTCAGCTAGCTGCTAGCTGAATGGCGCGGTTTATTGGCCCGAGCGCGGGCGAGGGGTGGTAGACTTTCGACGCGCGGTCATACACTCTACGCTGGCACAGCAATCTCACAGCGGCTCGGCACGGCATCTCACGGACCCCTCCCCCCCCCCTTCCCCACCCCCGCGAAGATGACCCCGATACCGCATGATGAGACTTGCCCGACCAAAAAGTCGCGGCATCCCCCCAAGACACCCAAGCGAAGCAATCTTGCTAGACACACGCCCCAATCAAAACCCGCAGGGCCGCATGTTTGGGCACGCGCCTCCGCGAGCAGCCCAGGGCGCAACAATTTTGCAACGTCCATGGGGTTCTAACACGTTTCGTGAAAGGCAAGCGTTTCGCTCGAGACACCCTCCCAATCTTGCACTCGAGAGGGCTCAACAGTTCAACATTTGGAAACACTGTTAAGCACGATTCTTTCGAACACAAGGACGGAGGAGGAGGAGGGGGCGGATAGGAGGGAGGGTCGGGCAGAGAAACGTTGACGACTGATTGCGTCCACACCCTTACTTTTCACCCGTCGCCTTATCCAACGCGCCGCCCGCTCCCCCCTGCGACGCCCCGCCCGCGCGGCGATGCAGGTGGGTGGCATATACGACCACCTTTCGGATGATAATGAGGTTGATGGGGGAACGGGGTGGGAGAACCCAAACGCCTCAACCGATCGACCTCCTACCGATCAATATCGACCCCGCTTGTGAGTCTCGCGACCGGTCTGACAGTCGATCCCACGATAGAATCTAACATGCTAATTTGCCGACGAAGCTAAGGTGCGAAGCCCTTAGAAGGACGGGGTCGGGGGAGGGGGCTGGAGGGACAACTTGGGATCTAATGGTCGCCCTGCCTCTGAGCACTGGGCCTGGGCAGCGCCTGGCCACCTGAAGCGTTTCGCTTGAGACGCCCCCTCAATGTTGCATTCGGGAAGGCCCTCGATTGACATCCAAGTCGGCGGCCGGACGAGAGAGAGGAGGAGGATGAAGATGAAGAGAAGTAGGAGGGGGGGGTGATGAGGAGGCGGGGTAGGAGGAGACGGAGGATGAGGAGGAGCAGGAAACTGGGGAAAAGGAGCAGGCGCAGGAGCAGACGGAGGAGGAAGAGGGTGAGGAGGAACAGGGGAAGGAGTCGGAGGAGGAGGAGGGAGAGGAGGAGAAGGAGGAGGATGAGGAGGGACATGAGGAGAGGGAAGAAGAGGTGCAGAGCTCTGGTTACCCTCCTCCTCCTCTTTCGTTTCCTCCCCCTCCTCTTCCTCCTCCCCACAACCAGGGATCCAAGACCCTGCGATTCCTCCTCCTCATCCTCCTCTGTCTCCTCTTCCTTCTCCTCCAACACCTCAACTGTCTGACCGCTCCAACGCGCCATCCCCAAGGGCGGGCGGCGCTGCCTTGAACGCCAACTCGTCCACGGAAGGGTTGGCCAAGATCTCGTCGTCAGTGCCAGCGACGACGTCCATCTCCTGGAAGATCGGGGCGTACGGGGAGAACAACATGAAGCTGATGTGCCAATACTTCGGCACCAAACCCCAGAACATGGCCAACTCTGCCGCATCGGCATCGCCGATGTCTCGCGGCTTGGCCGTGACCTTCATGATGATACGTTGATGCTTGAGCCAGCCGCGTTTCTCAGTCTCGGTGGTCGGGAACTCGCTCTTCATCACCCTGAAGATGCAATTACGGGCTCTGTGCAGTAGCTTGCCAGCGCGGTCGCACAAACAGACACCCGCGACCCAGCAAGGACTGATGGGAAACTCCTCATCGAGCTCATCACTGTCAGTGGTGATCGGCATCGCATCCACCGACTGCGCCAAATAATCCCACTGAGCAACGCATGCCTGGACCAGATTGGACCGTCTACCGCGTGCTGCGGCGACCCCCCTCCGTCGAAGAAGAACAGCTGCTTTCGCCACCCTGGCGTCGTCAACGGAAAGCACAGTGCACCCAAATTCACTTGGAACAGATGCCAGCGCGGACGCAGCCCATGGCGCCCCATCGGAGCAGGACTTCACGAGCTCGCGGGCTGCCGTTATGGTGTCCTTATCATACTGGTCCAAGACGTCCTGATCAGCCCGCGACTTGGCGCGACGCTGGATGTTGAGCGACCTCTGCAAGGCCCTTGCCTCGCTCAACACAGCGCGGGGCGTCTCGCCAGTCGAGGCGGCAACCTGCAGGACGCTGTCAACCGACTCCTGCTGCTCTGAATCCAGGAGGCTGTCAACTCTCGAAGCCAGGACTCTGGAACGGTTGGCCCGCTCCATGGCGGCCCGAGTGGGCCCAAAAGACGTCCCGATTGCCTCGCCTGCTCGCATTCGCTTGGTAGCTGCCTGGCCGTCCTCGATATACTTCTGGCGGTCCGCCTCAGAGAGGGCCCTGTACTGCCTCGCAACGGACCTGAAGTCGTTCGACCCCATCGCCCTCACGTAGGAGCGCCAAGCACCTCCAGCTCGCCCATGCCACTCGGCTGGCTGAAAACCGCTGCCCTGGCGGCGGTTCGCAGCGCCGCCTTCGCCCGACGGGGCGTCGCCCCACTTGAACCGCAAGCTCTCGCCAATGTGAAGCGCACTCAAGTCAGCCAAACTGATTTTTGTCGTCTGGACCCGCTCCTTCACTCTCCTGCGCAAGTTGGCGTTGCCGACCTCTAGGCGGCCGTTGTCGAAATACATCAAATGAGCTAGCAGAAGGAGGCGGCATCTCGCCTCCACGCTGTCGAACGTGCCGCTCTCCTTCAGAAACCTAGCGGACCACGGACACCGCAGGCAAGGTTTGTCGTTGTCGCACTCCTGCCCCATAATGGGGGACTCAAGGCTGAGGAAAGCACGAAATGGATATTTAGTGTGAGGCATCTCTCTGTAATAGTACGTCGATGCCCCCGCAGAGCTGAGCGTAAAGAAAGCAATCGCTCGAGTCCGATTCGTGACATCGTCACGGGGGACCAGCAGCCAGAGGCGAGAGTCGTCGAGCAAGTGGCGCAGCCGCATATTCAAGCCGGACTCCAAAGACCCCCTGGCAGCAACTAAGATACGGTAGTCACGATGCAGTCTGTCGTCGCCGCCGCCTTCGCGAATGGAGCGGGCAGCAGATGCCCGCTGTTGGTGCTCCCACTTCTTGGATGACACATAGTACTGCACCCGCATGTCGTGCTGGAGGGGGGCCACGCACAATCTCCAAACCAGCATCTGGGTTAGGGGCTCGGGACAAGAACTGCTCAACCAATTGCATGCCTTCCTGGTGTGGACAGTGTGATCCATCTCCTCCCTGTGGGCATCGTCCCGCTGGGGAACATGAGCGTCGCGCAACTGCGCGAACTGCCTATGCAAGCTGTCGCCCAAGGCCAGAGCAATGTCGCGCTGGTCTTCGGCGTCGGCGTCAGCAGCTCTGTGTTCTCTGGGGGCACAGCGCGGCCTCCGCCGCCGTCGAACCCACAAAAAATACGATGGGCGAAGCAAGCCCCAGCACACCTCAACCAGAGCGGGGTCACACACGCCCTCTTCTGCACCATTCCACCGCTGCATGCTGTAAAGACGAAACCTGCGATACGTCAAGCAATACAAACCCGCCCTGTAGGCGTAGATGGCATATGGAGGCATCACTTCTGGATGGGCTGGCAGCGATATGACAGGCAATGACCAGGACAAATCGGAGTGGGAGAAGGGGGGGGAGGGGGGGAGGGCACGACTTAAGGTGTCCGACACCCGTCCTCCTCTTCGGGGAGGCGCACGCCCATCCCCCCTATTCACGCACACCTGGACTTAGAAGAAGGGCTTCACGAACGCTCGGGGCGTCCTGTTTCGACACCTGGGAGAGCTGAATTTCGACACCCCCCCCCCACGAGGATCGTTGCCACCGAAGGGCAAAGCTAATCGAGGGACCAACCTTCTTGGTTCGATGTCCACCAAGATGGCCCCAGGCGTCTTGGACCCGCCTCGCGGGCCAAGCGGGCGCGCAGGCGGCGTGCAACCCGCACGCGCGCACCTAACGCGTGCCCAAGGGCCGCCGAGAGGCGCCCGATGCGCACCCCGAGCCCCCGTAAAACGTTTCCAACTTGAACGGCGAGGGCGTCTGGAGGCCCCTGGCCCCCTTGCCCGCCACCTCATCCTCTTCGTGATCCTACTTCGCACCCTTCCCCTCCTCGCCCGCCTGTTGCCCCTCCCCACTCCTTCCCCCTTCCCGTTTCTCCCCAACTCCGCCCTTCAGTAGGGTAAGGGGGATGCAGTACTCAAGGCGGCGGGGTATCGTGCAAACGAGCGACAGGCGATAACAGCCGAAAGGAAGAATAGGAGGAGGTTCGGGATAAGGGGGCACGCGGAGGAAGCGGGGGAGGAGGAGGATGCGGGAAGAGACAGAGGAGGAGACGGATAATGATGACGGGGGTGGATGGAGAGGAGGAGCAAGGCGGGAACGGGTTGCACGCGAAGCGTGGACAATTTGCAACCATGGTTGCGATATAATGCTTCATGGTATTGACTTGCTGCGCATCTCCAAGGTCGAACGTGTCATCAACAACGATGCGTATATCTGCTCTGTCTCTGAAATCGCACTGAGGAGTCATCTGAAGGAAAACACGTCTCATCACAGCACCGCCATCAGGCGAAACGAAGGTTCTGCAAGCGACAAGCTTATACAGCAACGATTCTGCGTCAACCTGGCCGTGCACGAGTAAGATCCGATGTAACAACACATCTTTCACGCAATTTTGGAAATCTTCCCAGGCACCACGCATGTCGAAGCTCTTCGCCATGTGCAACATTCCATTCACTGCACCACTAACATAATGAGAACAATACTCATGAGAACTGGCGTTTTGGTGCTTCTCGCAATCCGTACTCAAGTAACCCCAACCAGCACCGCGCCTACGAACGAGCTCCATTTCAGCACACTTGTTGGACGGGTGACGATCTTTTGATGAAGCTCTGGTTTTGGATTCGAATGCGGACTCAAAGCCAGTCATCCCAGTGGACCTCTCCAAAGCCATCAAAATGTTCTCTGCGTGGCAGCTCCGCAATGACTGGCACTCGTGAACCGCGCGGCCGAGCGCGATGCAATGCCGAAGGGGGCCATCGGCATCCAGGGGCGGCGCGCCAAACAAGCAACCATACTCGGACTGCGTCTGAAACAATTTTGTTATGACCTCGCCTGTGAAACGCCCTGGAGGCACGATCGCAACAGCTCGACATTCAGGTATCGAAGGAGCAGCAGCACCTGTCAATCTCAATGGCAATGGCGTTTCGTCGAAACCCGAATGGTCAACAACATCGATGCATCGAACTTCCATGCCGCGGCGCTTAGCCAACATCAAGGAGCCAAGCAGAGATCGACGGAGGCCCCTGGAAATGTGCCACGCCAGCGCGGCGAGTTCCGAACGGACCCGCACGGCAGTCTGCCTTGGAACATGTACAACAGCAGCGTGCTCGACCTGCGAGCCCTCGGTGCTACCTCCCAGCCAGCCGCACCCAACATCATTGATGGGCCCGCCTGCGAGCTTGAACAACGGCTCGCGAGCACTCAATTGGCAAAGTGCTGCAATCACATGCTGCACCAGTGGGCGCGACACGCCTGGCAGCGGCACCTCGCCACCCAAATCCAGATCCGACCTCGGCACGGCAATCTCCAGCGCGGGCGGCGGCCGACTGGCCGAAGAAGCTGCCAGGCGACAGCGGCGCGCCGCTGCAGCGGCCGCCTGGAGGTCGACCGTAGCAAGGGCATTCGGGCCCTTGCCTCTGCCGCCGCCCTTGGGGGCAGCCGGCGGCGACGCCATGGAGCCAAAATGGCTGAACAACGGATGGCAAATTGGACATGCACGGGGGGGGGGCGTTGACGCCCGCTTTCTTTCGCCCCCGTGCCCCCCCCCACTGAGACATCCTCGCGCCATTTCAAATCAGCACCCCGCCGACGGTGTGCTAATTGGTTGCTCCATCTGAAACTTTAGTGCGAAGCGCGGTTATCTTCGCCCTCCGTTGGGGAAGGGGGTGGGGAGTGGGTGCCTCGGGGAGGGGCGGGGCGCGCGCGCGCATGGGCGCGTTTATTCCACGCGCGGTGGCCACGCATTTGCCATGAACATACGGGCACAACGCAACACACTGCAAATGCAACGCATCACGCTTGCGACCACCCCTTACCATCACCACCGCAACGTCCCCCCCCCCCTGCACCGTTGATCATGTCCCACTCGCCCCCTCCACCACGGAACGTTGGAGCGGAAATAAGGACGGGACAGCGTGTGACAGCACGGGGGCTTCATGCATGCCAGGCATGCAGACAATTGCTCTCAAATTGGCACGGCTGGACCAAACTGGGCACGACGCATCGTTGCCACGGCTGGATTTGGCAAAGGAGGAGGAGGAGGAGGAGGAGGAGGAGGAGGAGGAGGAGGAGGAAAAGGCGGAGTAGGAGGAGGAGAAGGAGGAGGAGGATGAGGACGAGGGAGAGCAAGAGCAGAAGCAGGAGGCAGGAGGAGGAGGAAGAGGAGGATTCGTCAATTGCGGCGAGCGGTTCGCGCTCTCGCGCTGCACCCTGGAAAAAGAAAACCCCCAAACCCAAACCGCGATGCGAAACTAGGAAACGCGGCGCCCAGGGGAACAGCCCGCAGACCGATGCTGGATGAAAAGGAGGGGTGGAAGAGGGGCGCGGGCAAGGGGAGAAAGGAGGAGTAGAAGGAGGAGGAGGGGGAGGAGATGAGCAAGAAAGGGAAAAGTGCGACAAAATGCCCAGACCTGTTCGCTCGATGCATCTACCACTTCCCATTGAATGATCCACCTGCCCCCGACGGGGATTCTGTGGGCCGTGAACAACTTGCCCAAATTAACCGCCTGGCTGGCGACGAGGATACGTTCATTTGGCATCGTCTAGCTTGTGTGTATATTGTATATTGCTGATATTGATGTTCAATATAACCGATGCTGATGTTGAAGAGCGCCCCCCTGTGCCTTCCACCGCCACCGCTCCCCTCCCCTCCCCCGAAACGGACGAGGCATTCTCAATGGGCCAGTGGCACGGCAGCAGCTGCACACAGAATCAGCAAAGAAGGCTCGGCTCTCGAAGGGCGACAATCATGCTCTGAAATCGCTGCGGCAACTGCGCTGCTGATGGTCGTCAGTTTTGCCGCCGCGCCCCATGAGAGATTTTCGAATGTAGCGAAGGGTTTTTGGAGGGTTTTTTGAGAGAGTGCAAAATAGCTCGTTTTAGGGTTTTTGGAGGGTTTTGGCTGTTTGGCTTCAAACCAGAGTCTAGCGACCATGGGCAACACAAACCTATCTTACAGCCTTGGAGGAGTCAGCCATTGTTGCACTTGCGGTTGGAATGGTTGGTGGACCTCGGCGACAATTACCGAGCCAATCACGGAGATCAAGATGTCTGGCTACTGGAGAGACCAGGGCTGGGGGGGTTACAAAGGCTACATCCGCGTTGTGGTGGGGTCGGAGGCGTATAACTATGGTGTGGCACCTCATTCCAGATCGGCGTTTTCATTCACCTGGACATTGCCCGCGCCCTCGGCATCTGGCAGTCAAGTAGCGCTGTCTTACAACGTTGGGTGGGGAGGCGGGCACTGCCTCTACGTCGATAATGGCGCGAACCTGGCTGTGATCACCGCGACGCCCAGCCCGACGCCCTACCCGACGCCCTACCCGACGCCAAACCCGACGCCAAACCCGACGCCGAACCCGACGCCGAACCCAACGCCGAACCCGACGCCCTACCCGACGCCCTACCCGACGCCCTACCCGACACGCCCTACCCGACGGCGTTCCCGACGCCATTTCCGACGCCCTACCCGACGGCGTTCCCGACGTCTTTCCCGACGCCGTTTCCGACGCCCTTCCCGACGGCCTTCCCGACGCCGTTTCCGACGTCTTTCCCGACTTCCTTCCCAACCGGCTTCCCGACGCCGTTCCCGACGCCCAGTCCGACCCCCAGCCCGACGTATCCGCTGGGCTGGCCGACGCCACATCCGACGTTTCTTCCTGGAGCTCCCATGGCAGGTGGAGCGGGCGCAGCCGTGGCTGCCACTGGCGACCCCCACCTTCAGAACGTTCTTGGCCAGCGGTTCGATTTGATGAA